GTGTGAATTCCTCAATTATCAGAGGTCACAATGCAGGACAGAGATGCAGGTGACGATGAGAGTGGAATTTGCCGAACCACTTGCCGAACCACGTAAATCTGTGTGTTTTTTTGGTGTGAATTTTCTCGTTCTATTTTTTTGCTTCGTCGTCGATCGTTATATTTCTATATACCACAACAAGCTGTTCGCGAACAACGAGCTAAATTGACAGCCCTAACCACATTTATATTTTATGAAATTTTTATACTTATATTGAAAGAAATGTTTTTGTAGATATGTAAAATCATTTTAATTCGGCATGTATATGCATCAAGTGTTAAAATTACCTATGATATACAATAAGATGCGGAGTAACTACATATTTATTTTGCAAAAAATTTCGTTAAATATGATTTTATTCAAAGAATAACAAATATTTTAAAAAAATATGCAGTAAATTAATTGCAACAAAATAATCGAGTCACCTCATTGGTGCTTATTTGATGCTATAAAAGTCCTATGTCGAGAAAATGTTACTTCCCGCACGTCCAGGCGTCCAATCATTGACGACCACGTCGTCAAACACCTCATCGGCCAGCGAGGTGGTGGCAGGTGGTTGACCGTCCATTTTTTTTTCACTCTAAGCTATCATGTACCTCTTAGAAGACCCCACGAGTTTCGTCTGCCAACTTCCGTTGAAGAAATACAATAAGGGGCAAATTTGACGATGCTCTAGTTGGTTTTTCGATTGTTCGACACGTGCGTCACACACCCCTTTGTCAACTGCCTCCCACCGTTGATTCCATCGCTAACCGACTCTATCTTTGGTCGGATTTTTCTATGTTATATATCTATAATCTTAATTTTACATAATCAAATTTTCTATCGTAACAACTCACACGCCTTGACCTCTCTCGCTTTCTTTATGCTCTTGATCTCAAGCATGCACCACACATAAAAAGAGAAGCCCCAACCAACTAAGAACCACCCAAAGCTTGCTATTTACAAATCAACTCCCATAATTCATCTGTTTTTCAAACTATCCCTCAAATATCAGAATTAATGTTAAAACTCCAACTTATATTTTTCAGTTGTATCAAAATCTCAATAATCTGACCGTGTGAAACGTCTAAATATATCGGTTCTATGTTAAAAAAAAATTAGTTGGATGACTAATTTATAAATAGTATTTTTTCAAGAAGTTCGCATGTAATTATCCCAAATTAGACTACACAGCAAAGACCCCTAATTGGTGGTGAAAATCCTTTAATACTAAAAACAACAGAAATAAGAGGTAAAGTGAGAATCATAAAAGAAGACTAAGAGCACATTAAATTTCTATTAAATTTTATAGTAATTGTTGCCAAAGTTGCAAAAAGATCTCAATGAACAATCAACAAAGCAAAATCACTAAAATATGCACTTAAATTAACAACAAACTTAGTTAAAATCCCTCTCTTTTGCTTCCTCTCCAAATAATTTTGTGCCATTTCCTTCTTAATCATCGCAAGGAGGTGGAAGATTAAGATCTAGATAAAATCTCTTAAAATTTTCCTTCTTATTCGTCGGCTCAGTTGAAGTCGGTGGGCGGTGCTTCCTCATATGTCCGCCGAGAGCCTGGCCTGAACTGAACTCCATCTCGCAGACCCAACATTTGTGGATTTTAACCTCAATTGTGGCTGGCGAGGAGAACGAGTTAATGCTCAATTGAATTGAATTTACATTCATCACCTCTGACACGAGGGGGATCGAAAGTTTTGATTTTTTATTATGGCTGGCACGATGCCCACCAAGCGCCTGGTGTGAGGAAAAACACATATTGCAATCCCGACATTGGTGGACATTATTTCCAGTATTGCTTTGTCGGCTCGTCATGGTTCATTTTCTCGGCCGTGGTTGCTTCGTCCATTTCGTTGGGTTTTGGATTGTAGCCACCTCCAGCAAGGAGCAAGAGGCAATTAGCCATGTCTTCTTCTTCCTCAGTTGTGCTCTCAGAGATCTCCACGGAGGGTGTTGGAGACAATAGAGACGACACTACAGGGGGCAAAAGGTGATTCCTTTTCCGCTTGGTTCTCTTACCTTTCAATGTGGTGGATTCTTCCATTGATGGGTAAGAAAGTAGTCTGCGTTCAGAGAAGTGAAAGGTGAGGAAGAGAGGGTGGTTATACCTGTACCTGTTTCTCTGGTGTGCTTGTTTGTAGAGTCGGAGAAACGAAAAAATGGGTCGGAAATTTGATGTGGGGGGAATGAAACCATAAACACTTTAATAAGCACAAATAAAAAAGAAAATGGAAGGAGATTTTTGCGGAGAAGGACAGGCTTGACATGAAGTTAGGGCTTTTTGTTGTGCAGTCTATTTTAGGATTATTACATACAAACCTCTCAAAATTTTAATATTTATAAATTAATCATCCTTTTTTTTTGAAATATTTATAAATTAATCGATGTATTTACACGTTTCATGATTAAATTATTTAGAATTTGATGAAACTGTACAATATGGGTTGGAGTTTTAACATGAATTTTGATATTTAATGGGAGAAATTGAAAAATGGATGAAGGAGGGGGGCTGATTTATAAATAGCAAACTCCGCGTGTTTGTTTATGGTTGCCGTTGGTATGTATGGTGCATGCTTGAGATCAGAGCGAGTGGTGTGAGTTGTTTCAGTTGAAAATTTAACTATATTAAGTGAAGGTTCTATAGAAATAAAATAGAACATTAATTTATGAAATATATTAATAAATTTGATAAGTCATCAATAAATTTTCAGTATCCGACAGGAATCCCGAGATATAATACTGACCTCGAGGCAATCTTTCAAGCAAAACACTTTCAATACTCAATCCAGAGTCAATTGGAGCTATAATTTCTGCAAACTTATTGCTCGGCTCGACGAACTAACCTCACAAAATGTTAGATGGATTCGTGCCATGAAATTCCAACATTTCATGGTCTCAACAGCCAATCATGAACTAAAATTATATAAATAATTTCTTGTGAAAACATCACGAACAAATCAAAAAATAATAATAAATGTGAATATTTTCATAAGTACCTCGTTGGCGTGCTTAGTACCCCAAACAACAGCCTGCTTAATGGCCCAACACTGCTCTCTCGAGTAATGGGCCGACAGTATTGGCTCGGTCTGTGCCCACTACTCACAAAATTCTGAAATTTCCTCTCCAGGTATAAGCACATATTCTGATGATTCCTCCTTATAATATCAGAAGAGTGGCGGAGGCGGAGGAGAGTCTGACAAGACAATGGTGAGGACAATAGGCATATCCTCACAGTTGAGCATTAGGTCAAGATGTGGGCTCCTGCCCGCGTAGCGATGGAGGAGCTGGACGATACCCCCACAGGGTAAAAGTATCGCAGGGTTGAAACAAATTGTGGACGATACCCCGTAGGAGCTTGTCGTCTGACCATCAGAATTGCAGCTCCGTGGACGTAGGCAGTTTGCCGAATCACATAAATCTCTGTGTTTTCCTGTTTTATGTATTGCGATTTTTCTCGATCCAATTTTTCGCTTTATTATCGTCGTTTTTCACAACAGTTGGAAACAATACATACGACACTACAGGGGGCCAAAGGTGATGCCTTTGTCGCTTTTTTCTCTTCTCTTTCGCTCATAGAGGTGAAGGGTGAGGAGCTAAAAAAACAAAAGAAGTTTGAAATGAATATTTACTATTTAGGTTGGGGGAGCCATATGGAGGTATAATTTTGAAATGAATATTTATGTGTTTATGAGAGGAGTTTGGATATGATTTTGAGTTTTAATATCTGATTTAAATTTTGTTTTTCAGTTTTATTATTCAACACATAGATGAGATCGACTAACTAATTATTAATTTGTTGCTATTGTTTCAAGGTATAACTTTTAATATAACTCCATTTATATATATTTTTAATATCAAAGTATGTAGTAATATGGCTCCCGACGGACAATATATATATTATATATATATATGCAGTTAATGTAAAATCTACAGCAAATTAATTGCAACAAAATAATCGAGTCGCCTCTTTGGTGCTCATTTGATGCTATAAAAGTCCTCTGCCGAGAAAATATTACTTCCCGCTTGTCCGGACGTCCAATCATTGGCGACCACGTCGTTAAACACCTCATCGGCCGGTGGTGGCAGGTGGTTTACCGTCCATTTTTTTGTCACTCTAAGCTATCATGTACCTCTTAGAAGACCCCACCAATTTCGTCTGCCAACTTTCGTTGAAGAAATAGAATAAGGGGCTACTTTTGACGATGCTCTAGTTGGTTTTCAATTGTTCGACACGTTCGTCACACACCCATTCGCCGGCTGCCTCCTACCGTCGAGTCCATCGCTGACCGACTCTATCTTCAGTCGGATTTTTTTATTTTATATCTCTAGATTCTTAATTTGGCATAATCAAATTTTCTACCGCAACAACTCACACGCCTTAACCTCTCTCTCGCTTTCTCCACGCTCCACACATACAAAAACAGAAGCGGAAACCATCTAAGAACCAGCCAAAGCTTGCTATTTACAAATCAACCCCCATAATTCATCCGTTTTACAAACTATCCCTCAAATATCGGAATTCATGTTAAAACTTCAACTTATATTTTTCACTTGTATCAAAATCTCAATAATTTAACCGTGTGAAACGTCTAAATACATTGGTTCTATGTTTTGAAAAAATCAGTTGGATGGCTAATTTATAAATAGTATTTTTTCAAGAAGTTTGCATGTAATTATCTCAAATTAGAATGTACAGCAAAGACCCCTAATTGGTGGTGATAATCCTTTAATGCTAAAAACAACAGAAATAAATAAGAGATAAAGTGAGAATCATAAAAAAAAGAATGAGAGCACATTAAATTTCTATTAAATTTTATAGTAATTGTTGCCAAAACTGCAAAATGATCCCAATGAACAATCAACAAAGCAAAATCACTAAATATGCACTTAAACTAACAACAAACTTAGTTAAAATCTTTCTCTTTTGCTTCCTCTCCAAACACTTTTGTGCCATTACCTTCTTAATCATCGCAAGGAGGTGGAAGATTAAGATCCAGAAAAAATCTCTTAAAATTATCCTTCTTCGCTGGCTCAGTTGAAGTCGGTGGGCGGTGCTTTCGCATATGTCCGCCGAGAGCCTGACCGGAACTGAACTCCATCTCACAGACCCAGCATTTGTGGATTTTAACCTCAATCGTGGCTGGCGAAGAAAACGAGTTAATGCTCAATTGAATTGAATTTACATTCATCGCCTCCGACACGAGGGGAATCGAAAGCCTCGATTTTTTATTATGGCTGACACGATGCCCACCAAGCGCCTGGTGTGAGGAAAAACACTTATTGCAATCCCGACATTGGTGGACATTATTTCCAGCCTTGCATTGTTGGCTCGTAATGTTCACGGCCATGTTTGCTTCGTCCATTTCGTTGGGCTTTGGATTGTAGCGACCTCCAACAAAGAGTAAGAGACAATTAGCCGTGTCTTCTTCTTCCTCAGTTATGCTCTCAGAGATCTCCACGGAGGGTGTTGAGGACAATATAGACGACACTACAGGGGGCAAAAGGTGATTCCTTTTCCGCTTGGTTCTCTTCCCTTTCACTTTGGTGGATTCTTCCATTGATGGGTAAGAAAGTAGCCTGCGTTCAGAGAAGTGAAGGGTGAGGAAGAGAGGGTGGTTATACCAGTATCTGTTTCTCTGGTGTGCTTATTTGTAGAGTCGGAGAAATGAAAAAATGGATCGGAGATTTGATGTGGGCGGAATGAAACCATAAACACTTTAGTAAGCACAAATAAAAAGAAAAATGGAAGGAGAGTTTTTTGGAGAAGGACGGACTTGACGTGAAGTTAGGGCTTTTTGTTGTGCAGTCTATTTTAAGATTTTTACATACAAACCTCTCAAAATTTTAATATTTATAACTTAATCATCCAATTTTTATTTTTGAAATTTTTATAAATTAATTGATGTATTTACACGTTTCACGATTAAATTATTTAGAATTTGATGAAACTGAAAAATATGGGTTAGAGTTTTAACATGAATTTCGATATTTAATGGGAGAAATTGAAAAATGGATGAAGGAGGGGGGCTGATTTGTAAATAGCAAACTCCGCGTGGTTGTTTATGGTTGCCGTTGGTATGTATGGTGCAATGCTTGAGACCACAGAGCGAGGTGTGAGTTGTTTCAGTTGAAAATTTAAACTTTATCAAACAAAGATTCTATAGAAATAAAATAGAACATTAATTTTTGAAATATATTAATAAATTTGATAAGTCATCAATAAATTTTCAGCATCTTACATGAATCTCGAGATATAATACTGATCTCGAGGTAATCTTTCGAGCAAAACACTTTCGATACTCAATTCAGAGTCGACTGGAGCTATAATTTCTGCGAACTTATTGCCCGGCTCGACAAACTAACCTCACAAAATGTAAGTATATAAATAATTTCTTGTAAAAACATCACGAACAAATCAAAAAATAATAATAAATGTGAGTGTTTTCATAAGTAGACTTCAAAATGCAGTCATTACCTCGTTGGTGTGCATAGTACCCTAAACAGCAGCCTTCTTAATGGCCTAACACTTGCTCTCTCGAGTAATGGGCCAACCGTGTTGGCCCGGTCTGAGCCCGCTACTCACAAAATTCTAAAATTTCCCCAAGCCTTCCCCTCGACATGTACTTTATCCCTACCCACAAATATTAAAATTTGGATATTTATTTTAATAAAATTTACATTTTCGTGGGAATAAATGTACAAATTTAATTTGGGACTTTAATATGTAAATACAAATGAATTGAGTGATATATATAAATAAGTGTGTAAAAAGAACTAATTCTTCTAGAACAACACAAGTTTTATTTGTAAAGTAGTGCGCGTTTGATTCATTTCTTAAACAAGCGAGTCTAACACGAACAATAAAAAATTTGAATGAGCCGAACACAAATAAGTCTGGGGCTCGTTCAAACTCAACAACTTTACCCTAACATATATAAATATTCCCAAAAAAAATAAATAAATTATATACATATATAATTGCATTGACTAGCCAAATTTTAGTTTGGGAAGCCACTTTATCTACTCCTTCACCCAATTCCACTCCCCAATTCCACTCTAAAAAAAAAACCTTGCTTTCCAATCCATGTCTTTACTCAAATTGCGCTTCATAAATCTAACCTCATGTCGGCCGCATCCGAATAGCATAGGGTTCTCTTCTCTTCCAACCCCCTTCTTTCGCTCCATTAACATCACCCATAAATATGTAACCAAAAATTTGAACCATCATTTTTTTCGGGATTATTTACATTCCAAACATCCATAATATTTAATTTAATATTTTAAGCACCAAAAATCTCAAGTACACCATTTTAACCGCTCAAAATTTTGACGCAGAACTTCATGAATGAGTTTAGGAGGGTAATTATAGTGAAAAAAGCTGTTAAAATATTATTTTTAAAATTTAGATGATTAAAATATTATCAAATCTCCAGAAGATTTATTAGTAGCGAAGGCATGCCATCCCCAGAAGGCCAATCGGGAAATACGATATCGACAGTTGATGATTCTTCCTTATAATAGCAGAGGAGTGGCGGAGGCGGAGGAGAGTCTGACAAGACGGTGGTGAGGACAACGAGCATATCTTCACAGTTGAACATCTGGTCAAGATGTGGGCTCCTGCCCGCGTAGCAATGGAGGAGTTGGACGATGCCCCATAGGGTAAAAGTATCGCGTGGTTGAAACACATCATGGTGCGGTCGTTAATGATGATCAAGCAAAAGGCGGAATGGATTTTTGAGCTTTCAAGGGTTTCTTTAGTGATGCAGGTTGTGGCCCGTGGCCGAAGGTCCTCATGAATCCATCGAAAGTAGTCCGGGCATGTTGGCACCGGCGAAATGGGGTGTGGAGGTGGAGGAGGATGGAGAAGTGATGTTGGTGGTGGTGGTGATGACGGTTGAGAGGCTGATGTTGTATGTGATGTTTGGTAGTTGTAATTGAAATTTGTGTAAAAAGTGCGCAAAAAGAAAATGAAAAATATAATTGTTAATTCTCTCATTTTGAGAATTTTATCTTAAAAATTATATTCCAATAATTAAAATTAAAATTTTATTTTACTTTGTTTATTATTCTAAATTGTTTTTAAATTAAATTTTCATTTTACTTATAATTGGAACTAATAAAGTTTTTCTCTAAAAAAAATTAGTTTTTAATTATAATTTTGATATAGGAGAATTTTGATCACTTAATAATATTCATATATAATAGGCTTCAATTGTTTTAACAATTACAGTAGTTGAGAATTACATATAAAAATATGATAGTTTATTTCTAGATGATAACAAATCATAATCCTTACACAAAATTAATATATTTATAATTAAAGGAATTTTTGTCATTCTTGTATAATAGTCCGTTTAAGGCAGTTTATTTGCTGAGGTGTGTTCTGAAAATGCTGGATGAGGCATTTGGAAATCCTGATGCGGTAGCGTTGCTTTAAAAGTTATATTAAATGTGAGTTACATGCTTGACCCCGTGGCTCGTGTTTCTTCATGATCCTATTACTCGTACGGCCCTCTCAGTGCTTACCTCTCACTGCTGCCCTCTCTCTCGTGTTTCTTCTGCCCTAGGTAATGCGTCTCTCGATCGCTCCTTTCCCGTACCTCTCTCGAGTGACAGCGGGTTGTCTTTCTCCTCTCCCTCTTCCCTCCGATCACAGGTGAATACATGTTGCTTCCTCCTCTCCCCTTCCCTCCGATCTTCGGCTCTTTGTTTGTTTATTGTGCTCGTCATCCCTTTTTTTTTTTTTGGTGGAATGATTTTCTCTTTGCAATTTGTGGCTTTCGCATTTGTTGTTTGAAATGAGAATTTGGAATTTGCGATTTGTGACTTTTTCTCTATGATTTAGAATTTTGATTTTGTGGTTGAATGTGATATGAAAAGGGATTTTATCTTTACCTTTGATGTTTGGTTGTGAATTTACAAAATAACTAAAAGGGGGTGCTTGATTTGTTGATAGCAATGTGTCAAGTGCTCTATATGTAGTAGACCCAAATGAAAAATAAGGCATGAGGTTTTATCTATATCTTTGATGTTTGAATGAAAATTTGAGAAATGGCTGAAAGAAGATGTTTGATTTGTTGATAGCAATATTTTGTGTGCTTTGTATGTAACTGCATCAAATGATAAAATTTGGATGGTGTTTTATATTTACTTTGATGTTTGTAAGAGAATTTGAAAGTCATTGGTGCTCATTTGATGCTATAAAAGTCCTCTGTCGAGAAAATATTACTTCCTGCAAGTCCAGACGTCCAATAGTTGGCGACCACGTCATAAAACAACTCATCGGCCAACAAGGTGGCGGTCGGCGGTCGACCGTCCATTTTTTTGTCACTCTAAGCTATCACGTACCTCTTAGAACTCCAACAATTTTGTCTACCAACTTCTGTTGAAGAAATAGAATAAGGGGCAAATTTGACGATGCCCTTGTTGGTTTTTCGATTGTTCGACACGTGCGTCACACACCCCTTCGCTGGCTGCCTCCCACCTGTGAGTCCGTCGCTGAACAACTCTATCTTCGGTGGAATTTTTCTATTTTATATCTCTAGAATCTTAATTTGACATAATCAACTTTTCTACCGTAACAAATCACACGCCGACCTCTCTATTTTTCTCCATGCTCTTGATCTCAAGCATGGACCACACATACAAAAAGAGAAGCGGCAACCATTTAAGAACCACCCAAAGCTTTCTATTTATAAATCAACCCCTCTCATTCATCCGTTTTTCAAACTATCCCTCAAATATAGGAATACATGTCAAAACTCCAACCTCTATTTTTCACTTGTATCAAAATCTCAAAATTTAACCGCGTGAAACGTCTAAATACATCAGTTCTATGTTTCAAAAAAATCAGTTGGATGACTAATTTATAAATAGTATTTTTTCAACAAGTTCGCATTTAACTATCCCAAATTAGAATACACAACAAAGACTCCTAATTGGTGGTGAAAATTCTTTAATACTAAAAACAATAGAAATAAGAGGTAAAGTGAGAATCATAAAAGAATAATATAAACACATTAAATTTCTATTAAATTTTATAGTAATTGTTGCCAAAACTGCAAAAATGATCCCAATGAACAATCAACAAAGCAAAATCACCAAAATATGCACTTAAACTAACAACAAACTTAGTTAAAATCTCTCTCCTTTGCTTCCTCTCCTAACACTTTTGTGTCGTTCCCTTCTTAATCATCGCAAGGAGGTGGAAGATTAAGATCTAGATAAAATCTCTTAAAATTCTCCTTCTTCTTCGTCGACTCAGCTGAAGTCGGTAAGCGGTGCTTTCGCATATGTCCGCCAAGAGCCTGACCTGAACTGAACTCCTTCTCGCAGACCCAACATTTGTGGGTTTTAACCTCAATCTTGGCTGGCGAAGAGAACGAGTTAATGCTCAATTGAATTGAATTTACATTCATCACCTCCGACACAAGGGGAATCGAAAGCTTAAGTTTTTTATTATGGCTGGCACGATGTCCACCAAGCGCCTGGTGTGAGGAAAAGCACATATTGCAATCCCGACATTGGTGGACATTATTTCCAGCATTGTATTGTCGGCTCGTCATGTTCACTGCCGTGGTTGCTTCGTCCATTTCGTTGGGTTTTGGATTGTAGCCACCTTCAGCAAGGAGTAAGAGGCAATTAGCCATGTCTTCTTCTTCCTCAGTTGTGCTCTCAGAGATCTCCGCGGAGGGTGTTGGAGACAATATAGAGGACACTATAGGGGGCAAAAGGTGATTCCTTTTCCGCTTGGTTCTCTTACCTTTCAATTTGGTGGATTCTTCCATTGATGGGTAAGAAAACAACCTGCGTTCAGAGAAGTGAAAGGTGAGGAAGAAAGGGCGGTTATACCTGTACCTGTTTCTCTGGTGTGCTTATTTGTAGGTCCCAGAAACGAAAAATGGATCGAAAATTTGATGTGGGCGGAATGAAACCATAAATACTTTAGTAAGCACAAATGAAAAGGAAAATGGAAGGAAAGTTTTGCGGAGAAGAACCGGCTTGACGTGAAGTTAGGGTTTTTTGTTGTGCATTCTATTTTAGGATTATTACATACAAATCTCTAAAAATTTTAATATTTATAAATTAATCATCCAATTTTTGTTTTTGAAATATTTATAAATTAATCGATGTATTTACACGTTTCACAATTAAATTATTTAGAATTTGATGAATTGAAAAATATGGGTTGGAGTTTTAACATGAATTTCGATATTTAATGGGAGAAATTGAAAAATGGATGAAAGAGGGGGGCTGATTTGTAAATAGCAAACTCCGGTTGTTTATGGTTGACGTTGTGCAATGCTTGAGACCACAAAGCGAGGTGTGAGTTGTTTCAGTTGAAAATTTAAACTTTATCAAACAAAGATTCTATAGAAATAAAATAGAACATTAATTTTTGAAATATATTAATAAATTTGATACGTCATCAATAAATTTTCAACATCTTACATGAATCTCGAGATATAATACTGATCTCGAGGTAATCTTTCGAGCAAAACACTTTCGATACTCAATTCAGAGTCAACTGGAGCTATAATTTCTGCGAACTTATTGCCCGACTCGACGAACTAACCTCACAAAATGTAAGAAGATAAATAATTTCTTGTAAAAACATCACGAACAAATAAAAAAATAATAACAAATGTGAATATTTTCATAAGTAGACTTCAAAATGCCGTGCTTAGTGTGCTTGGTACCCCAAACAACAGGCTGCTTAATGGCCCAACACTTGCTTTCTGGAGTAATGGGCCATCAGTGTTGGCCCGGTCAGACACCACGACTCACATAATTCTGAAATTGACCCCAATATAAACTCCTAACTCGTCGGCCAAGCCCTCCCCTCAACGAAAAATTATTCAATACGGATCGGTCACCGCATGCAGCTTGCGAGCGGTGTCCGATCCGGACAATAGATCACCTGACCTACGGTTCCGATGTATTTCGGTGGGCCCCACCGATTTTTTTTAAAAAAAAAAGGAAATAATCGGGACCGTAGATCACAGTGATCTACGGTCAGGATCGGACACCGCATGCAGAGATGCATGCGGTGTCCGCACGCAATAATTCCTCCCCCTCAACATAAGCTTTATCCCTACCCTCGCATATTAAAATTATGATATTTATTTTAATTAAATTTACATTTTCATGGGAATAAATGTACAGATTTAATTTTGGACTTTAATATGTAAATACAAATGAATTGAGTGATATATAAAAGTAAGTGTGTAAAATGAACTAATTGTTCGAGAATAACTCGAGTTTTGTTTGTTAAGTAGCGCATGTTTGATTCATTCCTTAAACAAGCAAGTCTAACAAAAACAATAAAAAATTTGAATGAGCCGAACACAAACAAGTCTGGGGGCTCAATCAAACTCAGCTACTTTACACTATAAGTGCATTGACTAGCCAAATTTGAGCTTGGGAAGCCAGTTCTCTACTCCTTCCCCCAATTCCACTCTAAAAAACCTTGCTTTCCAATCCATGTCTTTACTCAAATTGCATTTCGTAAATCTAACCTCATGTCGGCCCCGTCCGAAAAGCATAGAGTTCTCTTCTCTTCCAACCCCCTTCTTTCACTCCATTAACACCGCCCATAAATATGTAACCAAAAATTTGAATCATCAACTATTTTTGAACCATCCATAATATTTAATTTAATTTTTTAAGCACCAAAAATCTTAAATACACCATTTTAACCGCTCAAAATTTTGACTCAAAACTTCATGAATGAGTTTAGGAGGGTAATTGTAATGAAAAAAAATTGTTAAAATATTATTTTTAAAATTTAGATGATTACAATGTTGTCCAATCTCCATAAGATTTATTTAGTAGCGAAGGCATGCCATCCCCAGAAGGCCAATCGAGAAATACGATATCGACAGTTGATGATTCTTCCTTACAATATGAGAGGAGTGGCAGAGGCGGAGGAGAGTCTGGCAAGATGGTGGTGAGGACAACGAGCATATCTTCACAGTTGAGCATTAGGCCAAAATGTGGGCTCCTGCCAGCGTAGCGATAAGGAGCTGGACGATACCCCATAGGGTAAAAGTATCGCGGGGTTGAAACACATTATGGTGCAGTCGTTGAGGCAGTATGAATTTTTGAGCTTCCAAAGGTTTCTTTAGTGATGCAGGTTGTGGCCCGTGATCGAAGGTCCTCATGAATCCATTGAAAGTAGTCCGAGCATGTCCGCACCGGTGAAAAGAGGTGTGGGGGTAGAGGATGATGGCGAAGGTGGTGATGAAGGTAGAGAGGCTGGTGCTGCATGAGATGTTTGGTAGTTGTATTTGGGCTGGATAGAATGGGCTCATTGACCTCTGGGTTTGGGCCTATAATCTCAATCTTGATCCAGTTCCATGAACATAATATGGGTTTCTTCTCCTTATTTGTGTAAAAATGAAAAATATAGTTTTTAATTCTCCATTTTGAGGATTTTATTTTAAAAATTATATTCCAATAATTCAAATTAAATTTCATTTTCTTTATTTTTTATTTTAAATTGTTTTTAAATTAAACTTTCATTTTACTTATAATTGGAGCTGATAAAGTTTTTCTCTAAAAAAAAATTAGTGCTTAATTATAAATTTGATATAGAAGAGTTTTGATGACATAATAATATTCATATATAATAGGCAGCAATATTTTTAACAATTAAAGTAGTTGAGAATTACATATAAAAATATGATATTTTATTTTAAGATGATAACAAATTACAATTCATACACAAAATTAACATATTTATAATTAGAAGTATTTTCGTCATGCTTGTATAATAGCCCGTTTGGGACAGTTTATTTGGCGCGGTGTGTTCTGAAAACGCTGGATGAGACGTTTGGAAAGAAAAATATGGGAATCCATTGGAAGGTTCATAAAGGAAGAGATGAACCAAGTAAGCCCGAGGAAGCCATTGAGCTCTGCTTGGAATCAGTGGGCTGTCACTTCAAAGGGAAAGGAGAGAGACTATCTCTTGGAATCAGCAGAAATGGAGAGCAGCAAGTCAGAACCTCGTTCTCTGCAGCCTCCTTTTAGCAGTGGGAGCTCAGTGAGTTGCTCTCTGAGAAGATTAATGGCACAAACAAAGTGGCGGAGAGTTTGATGAATAAAATCTCAGGAAAGAGATTAGGTTTTGTGTGAGAGTTATGGGGTTTGTTAAATAGACAATTTCTTGCATAGAAAATGTGGCATATATGTAAAATTTGAAATTTAGGTGTAAATACATATGAATTAAGTGGTACGTTGTAATATTCTAACTTTTTTTCTTTTTTTTTAAATTTAGTAAACTTTTGAATTAAGTTGTTGGAGTGAGGATTAATGACATCTGATATGTGATATGCAACACTTGGATGGTATAAATGTAAAAGTAAACTTTAGGCGTTAGATATGTAAATCTTCCATATACATAATATCAATGTGCAACAAAAAGATGGGCTTGTTAGGAGAAGAAAAATCATTGCACTACAAAATTTCTTGTTTGATGTAATAAAAATACTCAACAGAGCAATTTCTTCTCACAAAAAACACAGCAAACGAGTGCTTTCAATTCAATAAGACCAGTTAAATAAACCAGAAAAAAAAAACAAAAGAAAATAATTTTCAATAATAAACAAGCCTCAATGCTTACGTGAAAAATGATTATCATTAGGGTTTCTCTTTCCAGTAAACAGTGCAAGAGCTTTCCTGACCGGAGGCTTCAATGGGGCTCTCTTCTCACTAACATTAGAGAATATGTCGTCCGAACATAAGAAATCTTCATTCTGTGAAAAAAAAAATCAAAAGCACGTAAGCAAAAAAGGCTTCTAATGTTCTCTCTCAAATGTGCAAGAAATAAAGAAGCATTTGCATACATACCACCCAATTCCGATGCATTTACATATCTAACAGCTACACATTTGCTTTTTTACATTTATACCGCATCATCATCCAAATCTTTCATATCACATAAAAAAATTACTACCATTTTAACTTTTATTAAATAGAGAAAAAAACCTTTGCATACATAGGTAAGATGACATATATATAAAAATTGAAGTTTGGGTTTCAGATATGTAAACGCATAAGGATTAAGTGGAATGTATGTAAATCTTCCTAATAATTATAATAATAAATTTCACCTTGTTGTTTGGCTTGTTCTTCATTTTGGGGTAAAGAAGCTTGTGAGGGAGTTGATCTTCTCTCAAGATTAGATTCTTTGTGATAGCATGCCTTCCACCTTGTGGCAGGGGAAGTGAATACTGCAAAAAAAAGTGAATTTTGGAAAACCAATTACAATGATTATATTAAAAATTCAAGAACATGAATGACAAAAAAAGAGATTGAAGTGGATTCCAAACAAACAATTAACAATTAGTCATGACTGTTTCATTTCCATTTCCAACAGCCATTAAAGGGTGAGAAGTTTCTTCTAGCAAAAAGCTTACAACAGTTCATGACTGTTTCATTTCCATTTCCAACAGCCATTAATAAATGATATAGACCCTAGTTTTGCTGTTTGTTTTAAATGAACTACATGAAACCAAGCTTCCAATCATGGTAGTGCCAACATAGGCCACTATATATTTTAAGAAGTGATTTCATATCCAAACTTTTCACCATTTCATAGAAATATAAAACAACCAAATTATTAAATAAAAACACATAAATTTAAACTGTAAATGCATGAAAGATACCATAATGAAGAAATCAAAATAAGAATTTTACCTTTGTACCACGAAGAATAAAACGTTGTCTACGAGATGCAAGGAGAACGCCATTCTCACCGACAGTCACAGATACCTTGCGTAAGGTGCCACCATTACCACACTTTGGGCAAAAAATTTTTCCAATTTCTCGAGTTACATTATTGCAAGCATGACATTTTAAAACCCACCTATGCAGTTGTCGAATCTGCATTCCTCCCGGTGCAAGGAGACGGAGACCAATCTGAAGAATAACATTTTGCATGGCATAATCACTGGTAATGCAGGCAACTGTTGAATCTGACAAAGATCTCATCATCCAACTCTGCTCACTGCTAACATCATCAAATAATGATGTATTCATACCGCTATCACCATTACTAGAAACTTCCAAGTTTTCTGATACATTTTCACAAATATCATTTTCATTTTCTACATTATCCAAGCTATCTTCATCAATTAAACTAGGGACATTTTCCTCTTCTTGTGGAACCTCAGAATTATCAGTACCCAGTGACATTTGCTCAAAATCTGAACAAATAATATTCCCCATGGATTTACTGTTCTGCAGCTCATCTTTTTTAGATGGCTCATCTTCCCCTACAGGATGTTCATTAACCATGGCTTCCAATCTTGACTCCCGTCTCGCCTTTCTTTTCAAGTACTTCATGTGAGTACTGCGGCTAACAGCAGGGTGCCAATCATCAACATTATTAATATCCTCTCCATTGGAAGCATCAACACCATCTGCAACCATCTTTTTTCCAGCAATTTTGATTTCCCTCTTAGGAAAATTATACTTTCTGGATCTTAAAACAGTCTGATGTTCATTCTGCTGCTCTGTAGGCTTGGAAGAAGCTTCAGTTGCCTTAATAATATTATCATCCAGATCTTTCAAAGGAAGAATCCTGGAATCCCCCATTAATCCTCCCTCAGAGACTTGCTCAAGAGCCTCCCACTCAGCTAAATTGGGCACATTATCACCCCATCCAGGCATTTTAGCCTCTGGGAGGTTTTTCACATTGACCACATGAAGCAAGGGTGGGCTGTCCCTAAGATGATTGGTTCCATGGATCTGAGCTTCCAACATATATGTTAGAGCTATAAGCTTAAGATCAACATCTGATAAAGTGTGCAAATCGCCCGTCTCCCTTGCAAACTTGACAACTGCGTAAGTATAAAAATAGTTATTTCAAACGAATTCGTGAAACAAAATTCCAGCATATCATCTTCTTTGAAATAAAAAATAGATTAAAAGCTTCACAATCCAATGAGCTGATCTGATAAGTTCCAAAAAGTTAATATCAAGAATAAATTTAGAAAACACATCATAACTATCCAAGAAAGTTTCGATGCATATATACATAGGCTGATAGGGCTAACTTTTCTTGAGGGCGTCAGCAGAGGGTTCCATAGTCTCGACGAAGAAAGGAAGGTGAGCGAGTCTCTGACGAGAAACCGGATCCCTAACCTCTTCGACAACCTCTCTCACCGATACGAACTTATCGGCGTAGCCTGAGAGCTTATCGCCGTGTATTATAGCGCTGGCATCCACAACGGCAACAGAAATGCCCTTGCTCGATTTGCAGTCACCGAAGACGTTGCTGGGCAGAGGAGAGGCGGGTGGGGGTTTCTTTTGAACTATCGTGCTCCAGCAGGAGGCTGGGGCTGACTGGGGAGGACAAGCGTCCGACGGAGCAGAAGGAGGCGGCGGCGGTTCCATCGGCGTTCGCAGGTGGAAGTTGAGGGCGGCGAAGTGCGTGAGAGGAGAGGTTGTAGGGTTAGGGTTTCTATCGACGAAGCTGATCGCGCGAAAGAAACAGCGGCTATGTAATTATCCCAACAACTTAATTTTATATCTGGGTGTGTGTGTGAATCTATCTATCATATATACTTTGCATTTGATTTATTTGTATTAACTTAATAAATAAAAAATATATATTAAAATTTTTTTATATAAAATTAAAAGTTCTAATTTTTTTCTTAAATTTTAAAATTTAGAATAAGTACTTTTTTTTTAATATAAAACCATTAACAAATAATTATATAAATTAAAATAAATAAACAATAGAATAAATTTTAAATTGACATCTATTTAGTTTATACCAAGTAAATAAAATAGTATATTTTATATTGCAATCAAACAATAAAAATAATTGTTAACAAATAATTTTATTAAAATAAAAAAATGTACTAAATTTATATGCATATTGATATTAAATTATAATATGCTACTATAAAATATAAAATTAAATAAACTTTAGTTAATCGAATCTTATTTAAATAATGTATTGTATAAGCATTTAACATATTACTTATTGAATAACAACCCAACTTGTTCTTGTACATTAATTATAGAGTTGGACTATGTTCAAATTTGATTCATTTTACCCTCAAATTTCGAAAAATTGTTCAAACCTCTTTATTTGCTAATTTGATGAAATATTATCGAATATTAATTGAACCAAGTTCGAGCTATTGGCTCATTTAGAGCCCTATGCATAATACAAATATCTCCCAATTGTGAAAACTAGAATAGGGACATTTACATACAGGCAATGATTTTTATTTATTTACACATCTAAACCCTAAAATTTGATGCTTATACTCGTAACGTTTGGTGCCATAGGACTATACATGAAAGCTTGTATTTTACTTTTAAAAAGATACAATGATGATATATTTACGTGATATTAAATTTTTGAGTGGTATACATATAAATATGAAAGCTTAGGTGTTCAATACACGAATACATAAGAATTGTGCGGTATGTATGTAAATGCCCCAATAAAATATAATATTTACTTCTTCAAAATTCATTGATCAGGTAAACCTGAAAATAGTGAAGTTTAAAAGATAACTTCAATTTTGTTACTCATCCTCAAAATTTCTTCTTGTGTAAATTTTTTTGTCTTAAGAATTTTGAGCTTGTTTAGGATGGTGGTCTTTATTTCATCAATGTGGAACCATTCATTATAAAAAAGTGGTTTTCCTATTCTAAGCCAACCAAAGGCAATGAAAGTGTTATTCTCGAAGGCCTTTGTTTCAACCAAATTATATAAATTTATTCATTCTTGTTGAATGTAAATGATCTCTGATAATTTGCTAGTAATAGAGGAGCCTTTTTGCGTAGTAGTATTCTTCTTTTCTCTGGATCTTAATTCTCATTATGTTCCATACCTAGTAATCACTTATAACTAGAAACTTTCTTCTTAGAAATCTTGTAATAGTTTTGTGTATAAAGAAAATTATTTTTTCCTAACCCAACATTTTGGTGCTCCTTTTTTCCTTACCAATTTTAAGGAGAGAAAACATTGAAAGAAGTTAAAGACTATAGAATTTGCACTTAATAAAACACCCCCATTTAACACTCATTCTAAGTCCTTATTGGAGCAATTCATAACGTTGATCATCTTGTTCACCAAACTTAAATGACGTACAACAACAGTTAATTTGCCTTTGCTTCCTCTGTTATACTCACAATTAATGCTCCCATTCTCATCTATTTTATTATTTCTCCTTCACTAGTCTACTCCTCTTCATGAGACTAATAACTGTATAAATGAGACTTGACATACAAATTCTATAAAACTCTCTTCTAATCCTAAAGTCATTCAAAACTATCCTATTTCCTACACTTGTAACATTGGGTGAGATATACCTTCATGGGGAGGAAATAAATTTCATTTGCAAAAATCTAATTGGAGTATTAGGCCATCTTGAGACTAAATTTAATTATTGGTCAATTTTGAAAGGTCTTAGATTTTTTTTAATGAAAGGATATCACAAATTATCTAAGACTTATGAGAGAAAATTTTGGATTAAATGTAATTATTCCTACATTAAATTTATCTCTATCAACATCAAGCCATAGCTTATCCATGGCCTTATTGACTTTCCTATCTTAAGTAAATTTTACTAAACTGTTCTTTTTGATGTTAATGTCACAGTTAAGAAATACTTATATTGTAGATGGTGCTAATTATTTTAGATCAATATATATATATATATTCTTTATATTTATATGTAAATTTAAATCATCGTAGCTCGTGGTATGTTATTTTGTGTTTTCAGTAACATAAGATTGTATAGATTGAATCAAACATCATCCATTTATTTTTCTAATTAAATTAAACACGCCCATTACAAGCCAAACATATATCAAACATGAACAAAAATATATAAATCGAGCCGAACACAAATACATTGTTCACAAACAATTTCGTACCCATCAATTTCAAGCAAAACTAACTTCAAACCAACCGAACACGAACCAAGCTCAAGCTCAAGCTCAACTCATTTACAACCCTAATCCTCACAAATTAAAAGCCTTGGACCCACACCTTGAAGTTACATTACTTTAATAACATTAATATTTCAATTTTCATAAAAAAACAAAACAAAACTTATCCAAATTGCAATTAGGATCGAGATATATATAAAAAAAAATAATTCATGCATTTCTGATTGGCTTCAACAAAAAACACCATGTAAATTACAACAAAAAAAAAAAAAAAACAAGAAGGAAAAAAAGAATTTTTCTCAAGTTTAAACAAAGAATAGCATTCTTACACCGTAAAGACTGCTCACATGAATCAATGGCTAGCCTCATTCCTTTTTCCTACTCTAGCCTTTTCCTATTCATAAAATCAGCTCAGCCAAAAAAAAATATGTTGTTTTACATGTACAACCCTCCTTTTACTCCAAATTTTCTTTCTTTTGGTACTTTCCAATCCAGCTCTTAGAATACCTCATCCCCTACTCAAACGAGATGGAAAAAATGCATCCCAGAAGCCTGGAGATCGAGAGAAACTTCATCATTGCATCTGGTTCTGATATTGATATTGTAACCTTTACATGCAAAACTACAAAATTTCTTCTTCATAAATAAAAGTTCATTGAATTCCAATCAGATGATCAAGGTGAGGCATAAAACTTCATTGAAGGCATAAGAGAGTACTATTTCATAAGTGGTGTAAGCCCACTGCCTTCCCAACCAAGCTTTAGCATCTGATCCACCACCTTCAAACTCAACTGCAATGAAATGAAACAAATTATAATCTAAGAGAAGTTTTATGCAAAGAACCTTATTGGTTATCAGCAAAAAAATTGAAAATCAAAGGAGTTTAGAAGATGCGACTCCTAACATTTGAATATCATTTCGATTAATGAACATGTCAACTTAACAATCACCATGCTCTAGTTTTTTCTATATATATAATATATTGAAAATTTAAGTACCTAGCAATCAATTCTTATGTATTCATACATCTCACACCTAAAGTTCCATATTTACACATGCAACACTTTGGTGTTTTAAATCAATGCATGAAAATGTGAATTTCAGTTTTAAAAAGTGATAAAAGAGCTATTTTTTATGCAATATTAAAAATTTTAGTGCTATGTGCGTAATTATGAAAGTGTAGGTGGGAGAAATGTAAATACATAAGAATTGTGTGCAAGGAATGTTGGTGAAGTCCGGATAGGAATGTCCCATCAAAGAAGGAAAAAATGAAAAAAAAAAAAAAAAATCCCCATCAGAAGACTCACAGCTGGGTCAGTGAAGACTATCAACTGCTTATCTGCTGTTGAAACAAGTAGATTAGTGTTGTCCTGATTAAGAGAGATTGCAGTGACATCTTGACCTTCAGCAAGCTTCAGCGTATGAAAGACCTGCAACATTTTAGGGGGGGAAAAAAAAACTATTCACAAATTTTAACATTTATTCCAAAAGAAAATAAAAAAAAAATCCCCAAGAAATGTGTTTTCTAATACCTCCAGAGTATGCAAATTCAGGAAGCATATTGAAGGTACATGAATTGCTATTCTATTTTTGGGTTTCTCCATTGATGATGAATGACCGGCTTGAGAATAAAGTTGGTAGTTTTGCTGATTAGCACTGGAAGAAGTCCCGATGAGAGCATATTCTCCATCAGCAGAGACCGCAATACAACTGATAATTCCCGGGAAAGGAAAAGGCGAAATAACTGCTGAATCGACAAAAATCCCATTAATCGTGAAGGTGCGTATCATCCGATCCGGCTTGCTATAGGTGATTATGAGTCCCTGAGATGAGAGGCAGACCGAATCCGCCTTGACTAATAGCTTCCGAATCAGACGACCTCTTCGCAATGAATGCAAGAGAATGCAACTAGCGAGAGAACATGAAGCGATGATACCGAGTTCGGAACTGACGGAACATGAAATTATCTCACCAAGATGACCTCGTAAAACATGTACAGGACCTTCAATTCTGCATTTCCTGCTCTTGTCTGTAGGAGTGTTGGAGCTGCTGCTGGTTTTTTGAGGATTTGAGGAAGATTTTGGTGTATTGATGGATGAATTGGAAGAATTTTGAGAAGCTGAAGGAAATGATCTATGTATTTTCCAAAGTAAAACTGTTGTGTCACGAGATCCAGTAACCAAATAGTTGTTATCAGGAGATAGATGAAGACAAGTTATAGGTGCGCTATGTCCTCTTGCTGTCTCAATGGTTTTAGCTAAATCTGCTGATATGATCTTGACAGAATTATCAGCATGTCCACCTAATAAAGCCGGATTGGATGAACAGTTAGAATTGAGAAATCATATCAGGGAATGATGAAGAAATTTCACTTACTAAATTAGGAAAAAAAAACATAAATAGCCGAAACAACAGAGGCCCCGAAGCAAAATGGTAACATCTCTCCACAGGTCAGGAGTACGTAGAACAAAAGAAAGTGGAATTATAAAATATAACTGTTATGTGTCATCATGATTAAAAAAGTGCAAGATAACTTGAGGCTTACGGAACTAACACAAATCAAAGATGGGATGCACAAAGAAATACAAAAATAATAACAATTCGTAGTTTCGCAGCTCTTATTTTAGCCAAATATTAAATTTTTATGCAAAACTAGAAAATATATTTAATTCAATTTTAAACCATCCATGCCACAAAAATCCAAAATTTCATAAGAAATTTTAAAACAAATACGAAGAATGGAAATATACCAAAAATTTCTAATATAATTAAAGATTTGTTTGTAAAAAATGATTTTAGAGATAAGTTCTAAACAAATCCTAATGAAACTTATTATGCTACATAGACCCAAGTAGGCTGTAAACAAAACGAACTTGAGCGAGCTCAAACTTGGCTCGTGTTCAGCTTGTTCAAAATTAATTGTGTTCGAAATTGGCTCATGTTCGAAATTATTCATGAACAATGTGTTTTTGGTCGACTCAATTGATATATCGTGTTCGGTTCAAAATTATCTTGTTTAAATTAATTAAAAAAAATAGATGTAGGGTGTTTGATTCGAACATGCAATGCTGATGACCCCATAAGTTGTGATTTAAACTTATATAAATATATATATTGTTAGAATAGAACCAACATAATATTATTGGGCGAGGATATTCACAAGTTGACCACTAGAGGGCACAAAAGAATACAAATTTTCCAGAACTCGATCTTTTCCTTATGAAGCATCTATCAATCTCCACATGTTTAGTCCGATCATGCTAGACTGACTTATGAGCAATGCTGATGAGGGTCTTATTATCACATAATAGGTGCAGCGGGAGGAGGCTGACATACGAAGCTCACGGAGCATGGTGCGTAACCAGAGAGCTTCACAGATCCCCAAGAATATGAAACAAAATTCAGCTTCAACACTGCTCCGACAATCACAGCCTATTTCTTGCTTTTCCACACGACAAAAAATCCCTATTCAAATGATTAATACCCCAAGATGGAACGTTGATCATTTGCGAACCTGACCCAATCAACATTTGTATAAGCAACAATATATCAAGAGGTGTGACGAGAGAAAAACAAAACTGAGCCCGATGCATTTTTTAAATAGTGGAGAATCCAGTGGATAGCTTGGAGATAGTACTCATAAGGGTCATGTATGAATTGACCATTATACCAATTGCACGACATATGTCGAGGCGATTATGGGCAAGATAGATGAGTTTTATGATAAGACGCAGGTAATGAGCCTTATTAACAGACACAACATTGGGAATGTCAGAAAATTTTTCATTGGAATCCATAGAGACAACCATTGATTTGCACAAAAGAAAATTGTTCTCTGTTAAGAGATCAATCATATCTTTGCACTGAGACAGACAAATGCCCTGAAGTGATCGAGCCACTTTCATGCCTAAGAAGTACCAGAGAAATCCCAAGTCATTTACTTCAAAGAACTTTGCAAGAATGTCTTTAAAATACTCCAATGTTGGGAGATCGTTATCTATAAAAACAATATTGTTAACATAGACAATAAGAATAACTATCTGACCATTGGAAGAATGTTAGAAAAAGAGAGTGTGATTTGATTGAGCCTGAATAAAATCATGACCCACAACCACTTATGTGAACTTGCTGAATCGGGCTCTTGTGAACTGCTTTAGCCCATATAAGGACTTTCGCAACCTGCACACTTGCCCTCTAAATACTTGCTCTTTAGAGACAATAGAGTTAAAGTTAGGAGAGAGAGACATGTACACCTCTTCTGTAAGCTCTCCATTCAAGAACATATTCTTGATATCTAGCTGGAATAAAAACCAACTAGATTCATCGCAAGAGACAAAAGGATCTGAATAGTATTTAACTTAGCCATTAGAGCATGTCTCCTGATAATTAACTCTGTATGTCTGTGAGTACCTTTTAACGACCAATCGTGCCTTGTTGCATTCAAAGGATCATCAGAGTCGAACTTGATGCTAAAAATCCATCAACACCCCACAACTTTCTTACCCTAGGGAATATCAATGACGTCCCATATATGGTTCCGTTAAAGGGCATTTATCTCCTCCATGACACCAATTTTTCAAGCTTGGTATGCTAAGTCAGGTTGAATAATTGATAGAAGCCGATGATTGGACGGAGCTGTAGTAAATGCTCTGTAGGTTGACGATAATATGCAAAAAGAAACATAATTTGCCAAGGGATAGAACATATATGACCGCATACTTTACTAGAGGAACCAACTTCCTCATTTAAAGATGGAGCAATGGTGGGGATATCGTTCGGAGGGGAAGCGATCTCCAGAGTATGTGCATTAGAACGATTGTGTCGAGTTTAAACACAAAAAGTGGGAGGATGTGTTGGTGGAACCAACGAGACAGAGGGCTCCTTGGTGGTAGGAAAGTGGGTGGAACCAAAGAAACAAATGGTTCCTCGATGGTAAGTGACGTGGGGGGAACATCCACAGAAGAAGGGTAAGAAACAATGTCTAAGAACTCTAGCTCAACTTCACTGGAGGCTGAGTTAGGAAAGAAAGGAACACTTTCAAAAAATAAGATACCAACACTAACATAGACCTAATTTGTGGTAGGGTCAAGACACCGATACACCTTTTGAGTGACAAAGTATCCTAGAAAAACATATTTTATGAACCTGGAATCAAGTTTACTTCGGGTTGTGTTAAGAACAAAGGCTGTGCACCCAAAAATTTTGGGATAAAAAGTGGAGAAGCCCCAATTATTAGGAAAGCACGATCTCAAACTGTATTTAAACCCAATTACAGTAGACACAACGAAGGAAAAAAAAATAAAACAAAATAAAATAAATAGAAAATACCAATAATATGTTAGTTTCTTCAAAGGGAAGGTGACCTCTGCTTAGAAGATGAGGAAGTTTTTGAAAGAGAAAATAACTACAAATTTATATTTTAAAACATAAACTCATGTCATCTAAGTGTGATCATCAATTGAAGTAAGGAACCACCGTTTATAAGTGTCCGAGTTGGGGTTGTGTTAAGAACAGAGGTTGTGCACCAAAAAAATTTGGGATATAAAGTGGAGAAGACCCAATTATTAGGAAAGCACGATCTAAAGCTGTATTTTAACCCAATTACAGTAGACACAACAAAGGAAAAAAAATAAAGCAAAATAAAATAAATAGAAAATACCACTAATATGTTGGTTTCTTCAAAGGGAAGGTGACCTCTGCTTAGAAGATGAGGAAGTTTTTGAAAGAGACAATAAATACAAATTTATATTTTAAAATATAAACCCATGTCATCCAAGTGTGGTCATTAATCGAAGTAAGGAACCACCGTTTATTAGTGTAGCTAAGAGTGAGAGAGAGTTTTCATAAGTCACTGTGAATAATAGAGAAATGAGAGAAATGTGTGTAATTTTGGGGTGGATAAGGAACACAATGATGTTTAGCTAATATACGAATTTCACATTTGAAATTAGCAGGATTTTTAGTAGTAAACTTCGACAGATACAATTGTTTTAGATACTGGTAACTAGGAATATCCAAATGATAATGTACCAATATAATATAACATTCAGTGGATTGAGATAAACTCGAACTACTAGGTGGAGCTTTTTTATTCTTTATGCTTTTCTCTTGGAAGAAATAGAGCTCTTCAACCCACTTAGCAATTCCAATCATCCTCTCTGAACAACGATCCAGAAAAACAAACATCAGAGAAAAAAATGAACACAATCAATGTCATATGTCAGTTTACTACCATGGATTCCAGAGTTAGACCTGTTGTTAAACCAACAGACCCTTTACTAACAATGAAACTTTGGAACCCGTTAGCAATTTTAATCATATCTTTCCTTGAGCAATGATAGTATGTTGAGATGACTTGAGAGCTTTCAGTGATGTGGTCCGTAACACTTGAATCAATATTCTATGGACTTGAAGGAGCAAAGAAAGTGAGTACTATAGGATTGGTACCATGACAAACGTAGGAGGTCGACAATCCTGAAGAGAGCTGCTTCATTTGACACTTAAGAGAATCAAATGATTCCAGACTGATTATATTGTGGGGGATTCAAATACCGTAGTGAGACTCTTAGCAATGAAGGATTTGGCTCAAAGATCGTATGGAGGTTTTCAGCATAGCTTCCAACACTTGTCAAGAGTGGTTGATTTTGTGACAATAATCACAAATGGTGTGATAAGCTTGGGTGGCATGGGATGCCAAGACTGGGATGTAGGTAAGATTTTAGAGGGAAACAACAGGCTGGGATGCTGAGACATTGGAAAATCTTGTAGGCTGGACAACAACTGATCAGGTATCGAGAAAGGAACTTGCTGCTGGGACAACCTTGAAAACAACAACTGAGAAAAAAGAGGGAAACAATACAAAACAACTGGAAACAGTTTTGAAGTGTCGAATTTGAAGGATCAGCCGTCGACAAGGATCTACGAGGGTTGGAGACTACTGCCAGCAAGTCAAGCGACAACTTTAGGGGCAAGCGCTTAGGATCTGGTGGCTGGAGGCACTTTGCAATAGATGAAAGATGGAAACCTTGAAAGTGATGGCTACTCGTGACTGCGAGAGACCACACAACGGAGTACTTGAACTTGTTCGAGATTCAGTTTTCGAAGGCATTCGGTCTCGGGATGCCATCCGAGAAGGAGGAAGAAGAAATTAAACGGGACAACAATGAAATGGAAGGAGAAGAGCAGTGGTAGCGGAAGAGAGGTAGCCGTCGCAGAGGAAGAAGAAATTTGAGAAAGCTCCTTGGCTCATGGGCTCTCATAGAGAATTGCTGGAGGTGGAACCGACAATAGGAAAAACTGCTG